GATCAAACCTAAAATTTGTAGCTTCAGGGGGTATAGCCACCTCACCACTAGAGGACAATAATAAAGGGGTGGGGTCTGATAAATCTATAACTAATTTCCTCAAATTAACAATGAGAAAATATCTTCCCAGACTACAAACATAAGGAATCTTTCAAGTTTTTTCTAAGGTGTGGTGTTTATGTTTATTAGTCCAAGTGTACTAGCCCCCTTTCATATGAAACTCGCTTAGACCAACATTATGAATGATAGATTTAAAGACATCTACGGCATGAGAGTGGTGCAATATTTTTTTCTCCTCACAATGCCTAAGAATATTAAAATCACCAAAACCAAATAAAGGGATATCCATATTACAACAATATAAGCAACCAGTTCAACTAGAATTTCCTCTTTATGCTCTTGAGGAGCTACTCCATACACTACACGTAGGCCGCACTTAATATTTTTAAGAACATCCCAAAGACACATTTCCAGAATATATTTACCACACTAATAAGGCAAATTTATGGGTTATCTTTCTGAGTACAACACATTAACCCTCCAAATTTCCTATAACACAAATCATTTCCCAACAGAATATGTCATAAGGATCATACTTTCTACATAAACTAGGAATACAGCCTTTCTTCATAGTTTCTCAAGAGCAAGGAAATCCAGGAATTATAATTTTCTTTAAATCACAGAGGCGGGAATCCATTCTCTTCTTCCGTGGCTCCCAACGATTCCAAACAATACCTTCATTTCTATTTGTCAGGAGGATTTCTTACCTAGATCTCCTAGGAGGATGGCAGGGTTATTGTTTTTATTTGGGGGGGCATTTTTGTTTAATCCTAATCATCGGTTTAGAAACCACCACATTAACTTTCATGTATCTATCTTTTTATCTAACATAACTAAGATATTCTTCATCAATGGTAGTGTCACGCATCCATTCTATGTCAATAGGAGTATGCTCCCCCTTTTCACCAAAAATGTGTACAGTAGCAACATCAACAACATGCATGTTAGTGTCTATGCACATTCTAGATTTTCCAAGTTCCCTAGGAATATCAACAAAAGTAAAATCATGATTAGTGATAATCACACGACATTAGCAGCCCTAAGCATCAAATCTTTGTTGGTAAGGAACCAAAGGAGTTAGATTCAGGATTAATAGGACTACCATCCAGATTCCTCTTCCTTGTCAAAGAAACAACTCTTGCTTCCACACATATTTTTGACTAATTCTCATATTATCTTCAAGGAGAGGGGAAAAGCAGGAATCACATATTCCACCTAATCAGGCGGAGTTGCTAGGGGGCTGGACCACATGTGTACCACCAATGTTTAAACCACACGCTTCATTCTCCTCCACCTCCACTGCCTAGGGGTGTTAGTGGCCACCTCCACATTCCTCCCAAAGACAACAGAGACACTAAGTGTATCGCATGCTACCTCTTGAGCAAGTTTGTGCAAGTTTTCATCGCTAACTTACACATCACTAATAGAGGAAACCATCCAATTACCCTAAAGAGAAACAAATTTATCATTCCCCTTATATTCTCTCACTTTCACCTTCAACTTTTTAAGTTTTTTTCCTGAATAGTAGGACAAGTTTTCCTATACTTGTCATTATGAGTAGAATGACTACATCCAAAAAATTGTTCTTTAGTGGTACCATGAGTTTTGGTCCTTTTATATGATGGAATACCTTTATTATTTTGAGCACTCGCATTAATAGGACCAATTGTAAGCGATCGATACAACACCAGCCCATTCCTAAACAGAAAAAATAAAGCTTATAGTTTCCCTAGCTGAAGCACTACCCTCAACCACAATAATAAAGATATTGTCCGAACAATCTTTAGCTTGCTTAGCGGTATATGAATCCTATGTATAATAGAATTCTCGTCCTTAGCCTGAAATCCACACATTGATGCTATACATTCCAAAGGAAGAAACTCATTGCATATCGAAGCTAGGACCCCCATCTTTCCACTTATCTCACAAAATGCTTGAGGGCAATGAACACGAAAGTGACCAGGAGAGTTGTAGATCTGACAAACATCATGCTTGTAGATTGTATCACTAAAAATGATTACTAATGCATAAGAAAATGGTATGCATGTGGGTTTAGATCCTAATCTTAAGGGGCAGTTGTACTCCATTATTTTGATGAAATTGTGATATGCAATGAA